GTTGATTGCCGGGGTGAATAGGCTTTTATCAATTTTAAGTTCAATTTTATATGCTTTAGTTAATCTCACTAGTTCTGGACGACCAAGAGAGGAGGCCCCTCCAGTTGTTATAAATATGAGTTTTAATAATGAGGATGATCATCCTGAATGTGTGATGCCTCCTATACCTGTTGTAAAAACACCTCTGCATTTAGTTTGCTTTTTATAAACTAATTGTTGTAATGACTAATTAGAGATTGTCGATGGCCCAAAATTGGACATAACTTAGGGTGATACGTATTTGATGGATGATGTGTGAATCAATAGGCAACGTTCTTCAGCAGGCGTGGGTAGGCATGCAAAAAACATAGATGTAAGTAGTTCAGTTGAATGTGCTACGTTCACAGAGAAAAATGCTCTCACTATAATAATAGTTGTTTACATTCTACAAGAGGTTGGTCCTAAAAATGGGGAAGAAGAGAGAGAATCATTTTAAAATGAAGAGTGATATCTTTTTATAGGTGAGGGAATGCTCTCATTTCTTAAAATATGTAGATGTGGAACTACATACATTGTCTCTAGTTGCCTGGCTAGTCACGTTACCAACATAGGATTTAACGTGGCTCTAACAATCTAATTTCGTCCTTTTCAAATAAAATAACAATTACAACATTTAATGGTAACCATTGTAATAATTTTACAAATTGGTGTAATTGTTATTTTATTTGGAAAAAAAATTAATGGATAATTTTACCTAAAGAAATTGGGCCTGGCCCAGGCTAAGAAAAGAAAGCCCAATAATGTAACGAATCCCAAAAGAAAAGATATCCGATACAAAAATGTCGATCAGTACCCAATCAGTACCCGACCCTGAACCATCTAGCCCGATCCCAAATCTTTAGTTGATAGTCGGCGACCGTTGGTTCCAAACGACATAGGGTTTATCCTTTCCAAGCTCTCTCTCTCACACACACATACCAATTTAGGGTTTTCTTCACTGCAACAAAACTTTACAAGTTTTCAAAGATGTCGAAGAGAAAATTCGGATTCGAAGGCTTTGGCATAAACAAGCAATCGACTTTCAACTTCGAGCGGTCCCAGCAAGCACCTCAGCGACTCTACGTGCCTCCGTCGTCGCGCGGACAAAGCCACGATAACTACGAAGACACCGACCTTGACAACATTGATTACGACGATAACGATGGTTCCAGGGACCCTGGAAATAACAACAATCACGACGAAGGTGGCGGTGGCGGCGGCGACGAAAATGATGAAATTGACCCTCTTGACGCGTTCATGGAGAGCATTCACGAGGAGGTGAGGTCGGCGCCGCCGCCGAAGCCGAAAGAGAAGGCTGAGAAGTACAAGGACGATGAGGAAGATGATCCTATGGAGAGCTTTTTGAGGGCCAAGAAGGACGTGACGCTGACGCTGGCTTCCGATGCGTTACACGCTGGATACGACTCCGACGAGGAGGTCTATGCGGCTGCGAAGGCGGTCGATGCGGGGATGTTGGAGTACGATTCGGATGATAATCCCATTGTTCTGGACAAGAGGAAAATTGAGCCAATTGCCGCTCTCGATCATAGTTCGATCGACTACGAGCCCTTTAATAAGGATTTTTACGAGGAGAAAGAGTCAATTTCAGGTAAATTCCAATCAAGCAACTGAGAAGTTTGTTTCTTTTTTAATAATTCAATTAGATGGTCTGAATTTAGTAGAAATGTACTTCAAATATTTTAAATTTGAATGACAATGAAAATATTTGATTGGTAGAAGTTCTTAAGTAGAAATTTGAATTGGAAGGATGTAGTTTATGGGCAGATTTTCCATAATGAAGACTAATTAACTCATGATTTGTTTTCCTTATTTAGGGATGAGTGAGGAGGATGTTGCTGAGTACAAGAAGAGCTTGGCCATCCGTGCGTCGGGTTTTGATGTACCCAGGCCACTTAAGACATTTGAAGAATGTGGATTTTCTTCACAGCTCATGAGTGCAATAAAGAAACAAGATTATGAAAAGCCTACACCTATACAGTGCCAAGCTCTACCCATAGTTCTTTCTGGGAGAGATATCATCGGTATTGCAAAAACTGGTTCTGGAAAGACTGCCGCCTTTGTCCTTCCTATGATAGTCCACATTATGGATCAGCCGGAACTTCAGAAAGAAGAGGGTCCTATTGGAGTGATATGTGCACCTACTAGAGAACTGGCGCACCAAATATACTTAGAGGCCAAGAAATTTGCTAAATCACATGGGATACGTGTCTCTGCTGTATACGGTGGAATGTCTAAGCTTGATCAATTCAAAGAACTTAAGGCAGGATGTGAGATAGTTGTTGCTACTCCTGGGAGATTGATAGACATGCTTAAAATGAAGGCACTGACGATGCTAAGGGCAACTTACCTAGTACTTGATGAGGCTGATCGGATGTTTGACCTTGGGTTTGAGCCTCAAATTAGGTCTATTGTTGGTCAGATTCGGCCAGACCGGCAGACATTGCTCTTTTCTGCGACAATGCCCCGTAAAGTTGAAAAGTTGGCCAGGGAGATTCTCTCTGATCCAATAAGAGTTACAGTGGGTGAGGTGGGAATGGCCAATGAGGATATCACTCAGGTTGTTCATGTAATTCCTTCTGATGCTGAGAAGTTGCCCTGGCTTCTTGAGAAGTTACCTGGAATGATCGATGAGGGTGATGTTTTAGTATTTGCTTCAAAAAAAGCTGCAGTGGATGAGATTGAATCACAGCTTTCCCAGAAAGGTTTTAAGGTCACAGCTCTGCATGGTGACAAGGACCAGGCATCTCGGATGGATATTTTGCAAAAATTTAAATCTGGCATTTACCATGTTCTTATTGCAACTGATGTTGCTGCTCGTGGTCTTGACATCAAGTCAATTAAGTCAGTTGTGAACTTTGATATTGCAAAAGACATGGACATGCACGTCCATCGAATTGGTAGAACAGGTCGTGCTGGTGATAAAGATGGGACTGCATACACTCTTATAACTCAGAAAGAGGCACGGTTTGCTGGTGAATTGGTTAATAGCTTGGTTGCTGCTGGTCAGAATGCCTCCACAGAGCTCATGGACCTAGCAATGAAGGTAATTTCGTAGCACTATTAACATATTGTTATGGCTTATGTATTCAGTTTATGCATGCATCCACCTATGTTAGTTTCTTTTAGTTTTAGAGCTGGTGGCCATAACCTTAGTTTTGCAATCCTAATAATGCGTTATGTTCTGAGTCCAGGAAAATACAAGTTATTAGATATAGACTTTGCTAAGATGTTCTCTTTTAATGCAATATCTAGATAAGTACATCTGCAACTGTCTTGTCTCATAAATAAACTATATTTATGTGGACTCCATTATATAAGTGCATAGGTTGGTGATGTAGAACAGATAATATGCATTCTGCATCAGTTGGTCCTGATTAGTAGTGCACTTTGAGATTTGATGAACTGTTTAGTCGTTCAAGACCACATTTTGAAAAGCTTTAGTATGTCGTTGGAATTACAGGGCTGTATGGATCGTTGGTTTAATACTGTCATGATTACCCATTGCTGAAAAAGTGCCTAGTTTTGATAGTTAGACAGTTTGTAGTACTCCCATCTTGACTTGTAAACCAGTTCTACATTACAAAGAGTTCTTGGGGTGTATGCGTGGATTGAAGAATAGAGATTAATTGAAAGCTCCAGCTTAGTCCTATCTAGAGAATATTTTAGGGACTTATTATGTAGTGGGGTGTTAGCGTAGTGCGGTGTTTTATGTTAAAGCAGATTATGCAGGCCCCTTTAAAATAAGAAGCGAGTGTTACCAAATGCAGGAGAGAGTCCTATTTAAGGCTGTACCTCCTAGCCCCGTGTAGAAACAGGCCGTTAGTATATTATTATCACATATTATTAGCATTAATGCACCAGTTATCATATGGTTCCACATGCACTAATATTACATACTTTTACATTTCAAGAGCCATTGATGCAGAATGTCCTCAGTTCCTGCCGTAGGAGTTTAATGTTTGTTTTCTATCTGTCCTGTAGCCTTGTGTTTCGTATCTATCATACACTACAATACTATTCATGCTGTTTTTTGTTTGTTTTTTTGTGTGTGGGTTGTAGCAGTTTCTATCTCCTATGTGTATGTGCATCTCTTATGTTTTATTGAGGGTGTCATTGTCTCCTGTGTGGAACTTCTGATGCTCTCCCTTACTGTGTTTCTTGTATTATCGTAGATGTTAGTGTGAGATCTTACATGCTCTATTTTAATGGGATTTACCCTGTAATTTATCAGGATGGCAGATTCAGGTCTAAACGTGATTCAAGAAAAGGAGGTATAAATTTTGATCATATTATAGTGCTGCTATTTCTTTAGATGCTTTTGCAAGATAAGGATACTCACTTTTGCTGGGTTCTTGTAGGAGGCCCATTACATATTATATTATCCTTTTCTAGCATTTCAAATGATTATAGTGTATGGGTTCTGCAGGTGGAAAGAAGGGTAGAGGGAGGGGCGGTGGTGGTGGTGGTGGCGGCGGCGGCGGCGGAGGTCGAGGTGTGCGTGGGGTGGATTATGGTCTGGGTATTGGATATAATTCGGAATCCAATAATTCTTCATCTCATACTCCTACTAGTCGATCTGCTGCAGTAACTTCTCTGAGGACAGGAATGATGTCTCAGTTCAAGACCAAGTTTGTTGCTGCTGCATCAAACTCTCCAAGTCAGGGTTCAGGTAACAGCTCTAGTGTTCCCCAGAGATCAGCATTAAGAGGATTTGTATCGGGTGGCTCCATTGGCGGGGACATATATAGAACTCAGGCAACAAATACAGTTACTCCTGCTCCGACATCAGTCGTAAACATATCTTCACAGAACTCTGGAGAAAATGCAAGTCAGAAGCCTTCTGAAAGGTTAATACGATGTTCTGGTCTACACTTCAGTTAGAGTTGTCCATGTTTGCACGTATTTAATTGTGGTGCTGATCAGGTTCATTTGTTGCCTCTATTGCAGTTCTAGAGATAAACCTAGAGAACGTCGGAGGCGCTCTGGTTGGGACTGTTAGTCATACAGTTGAAGAACACCACTCTCACATAATGAGAACTCTTGTTTTTGTTGTAGATCAAGTCCTTATATGCCTGTATTATGTTGATCTTGGTAAGTTCTATTTTCATTTTTTATTTTTGGTTACTAAAGGTGTATGCTTGTACTTTCTTGTACTTTTTACTTCACTCAGAAATTGGCTTCTGCAGCTAGATCAATCAATTTAGTCAATTTCTCATTGTGTTTTTAAGTTAAAAAAGATAATTTAGTTAACTGGATTGACTTGCTGCACACATAGTGGATGATCTTTTGTGCTTGTACCACTTATGGTAACATAGTTTGACACATTCTTTTGTGTATGCCCCATTCTTTTATTTCTTGTGTATTGGTTTGCAGCAAACCTCTGCTTTGTATTGGACTGTACATCCACTTCTTGATTTCAAATAAAATGGCGTCAATTAGACACTGTGCAAGACTAGTCATGCCTCTATTTCTTTTTCATGCTGTTGCAGATCAAGGAAATTACTTGTCCCAAAATTAAATGTTAAAAAAGGAAAGGAAAGAGAGTGTTGCAGATGAAGTGCTTTATACAAACGGCATCTCATGTCTCCCCAATGTTCTATTTTTAATAAAAAGAGGGGTTGTTGAGTAGGAAGATGCAGAGTACATATGATTTGTTTTTCTGTACAACCCTAATGTCAGCAATTTAGTTGTTTTGTAAATTAATTTGCTTATCCATTTTTTTTCAGAATTCATGTTTATTGGTTGTCCCAAAATAGGATACTAAAATTAGCAAATTGGTTTTAAACCATAAACTTTAAATGTTTAAAACCTCGAATGAATTTAAGCCTTCAATTACAAACGGTTTATCTGTATTTGTTTGAGGACACAAATCACGACTGGTTGTAACATTATAATCATTTTTGAAAAGATCCTCGTGAATCTGTATGAGTAGAGAGAAACTTTCATGCAATGGAGATAATACTTTTTGTTATCTCCGGCCAATAGTGCAATGGGATGCTAACTTTTATACATGTTATTGCATTATTGCCCGGTGATAACAAAACAATACTATTCCCGTTACAAGAAAGTTTTTCTGGTACGAGTAATTTTCAAGATTAGTGTTAAAATAAAAATAGTTACTCGTCAGCTTAACATCATCAGCCTCATATATGTGAATGAAAACGGTTTGACAAAAAAATGTAAACGAGTGATGCCCTAAATCTGGTACACAAACTTCTCTGTCAAAAACACATCAGGGAAGTCCCACAAACGCAATTTGAGAATTCACAGAAACAAATTAATTCTCATTGAACAAATATAATTACAAAAAAATAGAAAACATATGTCCTATTTTCTTGTTTGATTACAATCTTCTAGTATCAATATATGACACAGGATAAATATGTTCCCTGGCCTAGAAGAAGCTGTTGCCAAAGAAAGGACATTTTGAAACGAGAGATCTTTTTTGCAATCCTATTTTCAATTGGATATTGTTATTTACAGCAGCAGACTTTTAGATACAAGAAAGGAGCTGCACAACTATCTAGTTATGTCCATAAGAGACACATCCTTTCAAATCTAGTAGTATGATATATACGTATCTCCAGTTGCAAATGAATGCTGCAGTGTTCATGCCTTGGGGCATTGCTGTACATTAATGTTTCCGGCGAAGTCTCTGCGTCGTGTGGCGTTAGGGCAGATGTCCAAGCACGGCTCCTTGAGAGTGGCATCATCTTCAGGAACCGGAGGGAGAATCCCGAATTTAAACTGCCATATTGGGAGTTCAATAGAGAGTTAAATGCCGGAGAATCAATATGTTGAAATGATGTGCGTAGAGAGAGGTATTGGGTTAACCTGGCAGCTATAGTCGCTGAAGTTTGGCTCCATCACTAAAGGAACACCCATGTAATCTTTCATGAAAGCCTGGAGCAACCATCTTTATGCAATTACAATCACCTCCTCTACATAACCAAAACCGTTTTTCTTCTTTCGGCTAGCGTTTGACAGAAAACTTTAAAATAGAATTACTGACCTGAGTAGGAAGCTTACAAGTATTCACACATATTCCGACGCATTTGCTTTGCTCCAAGTACTTACATTTCTCTACAAACACCTAAACCCTCCCATCCCATAGCCATTCATTATCTGAGGAGCTTAGCTTAAAACATAAGAAAAAAAGAAATACATATTGGATAGGTGACCAGACCGGCCATCACTCACCCCACTATTCCACGAGGTGCCGTCGGGTAGGTCGACAGAATTAACAGTGCAGGGTCCCATGAGCCATTCACAAGTAATTGCAGTCACCCTTGCTTCAGTTCAAAACATATCACATATGCATATATATATATATATATGCAAGGATAAATAATAATAATAATAATATATCAAATGAGTGAGGAATAGGAAATACAGACCAACCATGATGGCAGCTACTTTTCCGCCTTGTATGGGTGCTATTAGCAATTTATAAAGTTGTAGCAGCATTGGTGGAAACAGGGATCTCAGTATTCTCACCTGCCACAACAAACCATACAACAACACTCACTAATGGCCATCATCATCTTCTCTGTGTTTTTATTGAACCAATTCACTATACATGTCACTTATATTTGCAGCTGAAAAGAAAGGAGATTGCTTGCTTAGAAGGAGACATTCCCGCAAATCACAAATTGTCACATATGTAAAATTAATTCATAAATAACACAACTTTTTACACATATATCAAATTGTCATCGGCAGGAAAATAGAAGTTCTTATTTACATATTCAAGATAATATGTAAATAAGTCCTGAAAAATGAGAGGAGAATAGTGAGTACCGCAGCTTCTTTAGTGTGAGAATTGGTTGGACTTTTGAGCATAAGCCGGTTTGCAACTTCAATGAGTCCATCATATCCGGGTTTTCGGGAATCCCATCCAACTTCCTCCACCATTTTCTTCCTAAACAAATTCAGAAACACTTCATCCATCACTCCACCCTTCTTCTCTTGCTTCGCCTGTATTTCGGATTGAGGCTCTTTTCTCTGCATAATAAATAATTAATGCAACATAAAAAATTAGAAATTCCAAAACAAAAACAAAAACAAAAAATCCCACCAAAGAGGACGAGGCCCGAAAGTGTTGGCTTCGGAGATACTGAGATTTGGGTAAGGAATGGGGAGGCCATGAGCAAATGCTTGGGGGACGAACAACAGCCAAAGCCTTCATTTTCCGGAGATGAAATTCCAAAAGCTTGGAACTTGGGACTTGTCTCTCAATAATCAATCAGGGCCGGGTCTGGGCCTCAACCCATGACCCGGCTCGTTTAAATAAGAAAGATGGCGATGCCATTCACAAGTAATTGCAGTCACCCTTGCTTCAGTTCAAAACATATCACATATGCATATATATATATATATATGCAAGGATAAATAATAATAATAATAATATATCAAATGAGTGAGGAATAGGAAATACAGACCAACCATGATGGCAGCTACTTTTCCGCCTTGTATGGGTGCTATTAGCAATTTATAAAGTTGTAGCAGCATTGGTGGAAACAGGGATCTCAGTATTCTCACCTGCCACAACAAACCATACAACAACACTCACTAATGGCCATCATCATCTTCTCTGTGTTTTTATTGAACCAATTCACTATACATGTCACTTATATTTGCAGCTGAAAAGAAAGGAGATTGCTTGCTTAGAAGGAGACATTCCCGCAAATCACAAATTGTCACATATGTAAAATTAATTCATAAATAACACAACTTTTTACACATATATCAAATTGTCATCGGCAGGAAAATAGAAGTTCTTATTTACATATTCAAGATAATATGTAAATAAGTCCTGAAAAATGAGAGGAGAATAGTGAGTACCGCAGCTTCTTTAGTGTGAGAATTGGTTGGACTTTTGAGCATAAGCCGGTTTGCAACTTCAATGAGTCCATCATATCCGGGTTTTCGGGAATCCCATCCAACTTCCTCCACCATTTTCTTCCTAAACAAATTCAGAAACACTTCATCCATCACTCCACCCTTCTTCTCTTGCTTCGCCTGTATTTCGGATTGAGGCTCTTTTCTCTGCATAATAAATAATTAATGCAACATAAAAAATTAGAAATTCCAAAACAAAAACAAAAACAAAAAATCCCACCAAAGAGGACGAGGCCCGAAAGTGTTGGCTTCGGAGATACTGAGATTTGGGTAAGGAATGGGGAGGCCATGAGCAAATGCTTGGGGGACGAACAACAGCCAAAGCCTTCATTTTCCGGAGATGAAATTCCAAAAGCTTGGAACTTGGGACTTGTCTCTCAATAATCAATCAGGGCCGGGTCTGGGCCTCAACCCATGACCCGGCTCGTTTAAATAAGAAAGATGGCGATGCAAAACGCAGCGTCTTGAATCCACCCAATTTGAAGCAAGGTTTAAAATTAAATCCTAACAGAAATACCGATTTGTTAAACCCTACCAAAACCCTTGGCTCTGAGGCAGAGAGAATTAACTCTGACGAAAATGAATTCTAGCCGCTCGATATCCGCCGGCACTTGGCTGGTGAGGAAGCTTTGTACGGCGGTTGAGGCTGCGACGGAGTCGGCGCGGAGTCAGCCTGGAAATCCCACTAGGCTGTACCGGAGGCTATCGGCTTTGGGAGCCACCGGAGGCAGCGTGGCAAAGACGTTAAATCAGTACATTATGGAGGGCAAAATGTTGAAGAAGTACGAGCTCGAGAGGTGTATCAAGGAGCTCCGCAAGTACCGCAAGTTCCAGCATGCCTTAGAGGTTAGGCCTATTTCCGCTTCTATCCTTCTCCTTATTTGCTTAATTTTCATCTCAAATTCAAAATTACTGACAAATTTTGGTGCTATTTTATGGAGTTTTAGGTGTTTCAATTCCAATCGACCTTATTTTTAATTCCATTGCTCATTGCTCATTGCTCATTGCTTATTGCTTATTGGTTGGTTAATATATTTCAAGGTAATGACTAGTAGTTTGTTTTGTTGTTGATTTGGTTTTTATTAGTGCAGATAATGGAATGGATGGAGTTTAGGAAAATGAATTACTCGAAAGCTGACTTTGCCATACGTTTGGATCTTACGTCCAAAGTGAAAGGGATAGAGGCAGCTGAGGATTACTTCAGCGGCCTATCGCCGTCTTTAAAGGATCGATTTACTTACGGAGCCCTTTTGAACTGTTATTGCAAGGAACTGATGGAAGAAAAGGCATTGTCTCTTTATGAGACGATGGATGAGTTGGAGTTTGCTTCCTCTTCTTTGGTCTTTAACAATCTCATGTCTATGCATATGAGAAAGCAGCAACCAGAGAAAGTGGCTCCTTTAGTGCAAGAAATGAAGCAGAGGAAAATCCCTCTGGACACATTTACGTATAACATCTGGATGCAGAGCTTTGCGTCTTTAAACAATTTTGAAGGAGTAGAAAGAGTCCTGGACGAGATGCAAAAACAAGATGGAGACCAATGCAGTTGGTCAACATATAGTAACCTGGCTGCTATTTATGTAAAGGCTAAGATTTTTGACAAGGCTGAGCTAGCCCTTAAAAAGTCGGAGGAAATGATGAAACCCCTGAAGCAGCGCAATACATACCATTTCTTGATTAGCCTCTATGCCTGCACTTCTAATCTAGGTGAGGTCAAAAGGGTATGGGAATCCCTCAAGAAAGCTTTCCCAGCAACCAACAATATAAGCTATCTTATCATGCTTCAGGCCCTCTGTAAGCTAAATGATATTGAGGGCTTGAAAGAATGTTTTGAGGAATGGGAGTGCAAATGCTCCAGTTATGATATGCGACTGGCAAATACTGCTATACGTGGTTACCTCAGTCAGGACATGTATGAAGAAGCAGCATTGGTCTTTTCAGATGCCTGTAAGAGGACTAAAGGGCCTTTCTTTAAGGCTCGGGAAATGTTCATGCTTTACTTCTTGAAAAACTGTCAGGTGGATTTGGCTGTTAGCTATTTGGGAGCTGCTGTTTCAGAAACCGTGGATGAGGAATGGCATCCATCCCCGGATACCACAAGTGCATTTTTTAAGTATTTTGAAGAAGAGAAAGATGTTGAAAGTGCTGAGAACTTTTGCAAGATTCTGAAGCGTCTAAATTGCCTCTGTTCCAATGAGTATTATTTGTTGCTTAAGACTTACATAGCTGCAGGAAAATTGGATCCTGAGATGCGTCAAAGATTGAAGGAAGAAGATATTGAAATAAGCCCCGAGCTTGAGAGTTTGCTTGAAAGGGTTTCCCCTGAGTAGGTCTGCATAGAACAGGCCCCTATGATTTTAACGCATTTTCACTTTATATATACATTGGAATCTTCAACTCTAGTGTTCTTTAAGAATGCATATACCTTATGATTGCATAAGTTGGGGCACCTAGGTTGGGACAACATCTTTTCTTTGATGCGGCTACTATCGTATCAATATGCAGGTATGCAGGTATGAATATTTTTCTTCGATAGGCATGCTTTTGCTTTTAACTCTAAGCATGACAATCGATGTTTCCAATGCCACATTTGTAGTACATTTTGCATGTACGGATATATTCAGCGTTTGTTAGAGATGAAATCCGTTCTCCTTTTATCCCTCTACCCTTGTGCATGTGCATGAAGTTTGTGTATGCTGATATCATTGTCTGAATTTAATCTCACCTGTGTGGTTGTGTGACTTCTATGTTGAAGTCATGGTACTTAGTTGATGAACTTTTATTTGTTTCGCGGTAACAAGTTCTGTGCTTGCAATTGACATTGTTGTGCAGCTAATTCCTTTTGAAAACTCTAAGGGACAAAGATTCATGGTGTTTAATTGGACTTCTGTAGGCTGCATCTCACCCCTTGGTGCTCTTGAATTCTGAGCCGCTTTTAGAGGTAGCTGTAAATGATAAAACAATTTGGTTAAGCAGATGTTTCTCTTTCTTTTTGCCAGTGATAAGCAGATGTTTCTCAGGGAGCTGTATTCGTCGACTATTATTATTTGTAAAATGTATTATCATAATTACTTCGTTCCTTACTGATTTCAGATTCTTTGTTTTAAATTTTATGTAATGCAATTATTTATTGAGGTGTAAATTCCTGGTAGAACCAACTGTCGAGGATAGATTTGCTTTTGCAAAGAGTTTCAATTTCAACCTTTTATAAGGTCCTATTTAAACAAAATATTTTAAGTTTTTTTTTGGTCTGAATTGTATTGTCCAGAGAAATTGTGATGAAACTTGTAGAAAACCCAGAATGAAAAATACCGTAATCTCTGGAAAGATGATGCCATTTTTTTTTTGGAAACTAAATCACAACTTTTTGAGTTGGTTAGATTTTAAATAAAAAAAATGGCATTGGATAAGCATATCGGAGATTGCTGGTACTTAAGAAAACAAAAAACCCATGCTCTCTCTCCACAGTTTGCCGCAGTTCACATGAATTCCACGTCTTCGTCTTGATGTTCCAGAACAATGGTGGCAAGAGCAAGTCTATATGCTGAAGATCTCAAATTCCTGACAAGGACATAAATTTCCTTTCGTCTACGCATTGCTGGCTTCGAATCCCATTGTTCCTCTCTAAGACGATTAAGTACAACTGCCTCACAAAAAGCTTCTGCTACCGGCTTCTTGCTGCATATAAAATTCAACGCGACATAGTCAAGACAAAAAAAATAAATGTATAGAACAATAGAAACAAAAGCTGGGAGTTGTGATGTAGCAGGAGGACTGTAAACTAACCTCCCTCGAACGAAACCAGTGGTGACAAAGCCTATTGGCCAACGATGAGATTCTCTACCAACAGTGTCCTCTGGTATTTGGAGTTCCCACTTACCAGAAGATTGCTCTTTGAAGTACGATGTCACAGCCGATTGAGGCATTTGAAGTCCTCTATCGAAAAACTCTGACCTGCAAGACACACATGATGCTATTTTATTTTATTTATTTATATTTAAAAAGGCTTTAGATTATTGGTCTGCAGCATGGATATTACTATGAAATACAGATAAATATCTTTCAAAAATAGCCACAAAACCTACAAGGCACTCCCAAGATTACAATTATCAATGGTCGCATTTAAATTTCAGTAAACTTTCATCAAGGCAAGTTCTGATGGTAATGAGGCATAACCTAACATAAGTCAATATATCTCTCAAACTATAGTGCCTTTATCATGGTCCAGGCACATTAGAGCAGACACATTTGATCAACTTATCAACCACCAACACATTAAGACACCTCTAATAGAAAATAAAAGACGGAGGAAATTACAAGTGCTGCCAAGTGCTAATATAATCATAAGAAGCAAATAGGATATCAATGTAAGGAACAAATCACAAAATTTCAGAATAAAAAGTCCAAAGCAAAAAGGGCTACCTCTTCCACATTGATATGTCAGTCAGTTGAGGTGCACAAACGACTGCTCCCTCTTCAAGAAAACCTTCCTTGTAAGCATGCAGTAATACCCTAACAAAACATAATTTGCGATTGTACTTCAATTTGTTAATCCCATTTTGGCCCAGCCCAAGCTTGCTTTCATCCCTCATAAACTTAGTAAAACTTGTCTGTTTATCCGCCACGTGAGGACATAGATGTAAATGACAGCCTTGAATTTCATTCAAGAATTTTGTCAGCGAAACAGACGTCCGTGCTACAGAACCATCAAATGAATTACCTAGACAGGCAGTTAATGTAGGATCAGAAAGTCCACAGTCCGAGTTAGATGATGAATTGCTTCTGACGCCATTTTCCTGCCTAAAAATTTCATCTTCTCCAACCGTAGTGGATCCTTCGTTTAAAGCAGCTCGGATAGTGTTCCATGGGGGTAGAATGGGAACCCTCAAAGGCCTTTTAGCTGGAGGACGAAGTTCCTCTTTAAGACTAGAGGCAACAGCTTCAGTTTCCTTGAGGCATAAATATGCATAGCAATCAGGAAAATCCGAAGGAAAATATGGCAACCCCACCTGCAAAAGAGAGGAGACTTACAAGTGACATTTGACAACCTGATATTAAATATTATAGATACGAAGTTCACATGCTTACTTCACTTGAAATCAAGTGCTTCTCTCTCAAACCCATTGCATGAGCCCCCTTGGAGACAAGAGAAATCCAAAATGCCCTGACCCAGCTTAAGGGGAGGATAACAGACCATCTGTAAGGCAATAAGAGATTGAATTCTATGGTAACTATACAAACAGATCAAAAGTCAATAGAAAAAATTGACGAACTGATGTCATTTTAAGGCAGGTCAGAAAAATTGATTGTCACATTCTGCTGCCCATAAAATTCAGAACTTCAAATATGAGTTATCAATTATTGCACAAAGAGCCAATAGTAAACATTTAAGTCATGATTTTCATGCTTCAGATAAGAAATAGATATGGACCTTGTTAATATACCTGAATCACAAACAAGCATGAGACTCTACAGTTTTTTTTTTCTTATGAGAAACATAATATGTTAACAAGTGGAAAAATACAAACATACAATTCAGAGGACATCGTGTCCACCGAAACCCAAACATAAGAGCTAGCATTAATACAAGAACATAACATTATGCAGCAATTGATTTAACCCACATAACGCTAAATGAAGAATAAGCAAGGAGAAAAGGAGTTTACCCAATATTCAAGCCCCTTCCATTATTATTTTTCAACAGCATAATAGGGCAAGATCTTGAGCACGGAGACTTGGTTGAAGTATTTAGTGCCCCTGAACTCAAATCATCGAGGCAGAGGAAATTCTTATGCTGGTCATGTTTTTCCTTGCAAATAACCTCCTCTTCCACTGGAGGACTTACTCCACTGCTAACGTCCCACAAACTTTTTTCTGCGAGCATGCCACTACCTTCAGGCTCGTCTGAAAATCTTCCAAAGACAACATGCTCTTTGCGTTCAGTTCCTAGAACATCACCTAGTATACTAGTAGAGCCTGATTCTGGAGCATATGCAATCTTTTCCTTCTCTGTTAATGTACGAGGATCCTTGACATTAAGAGACAAGATTGCATGAGAAGGAATGCTGTCCTCTTTTTCAAGTATAATCTTAGATTGGGAATCATCTTTGGCCTCAGAAACTGAATGTTTCATCAAATTCCAAGAATCATCTCTAATCCTGTTCAGCCAGACAACACCATTAGCCATCTTTAACCTCATTATTTGGTTAATGAATCAAATTCTTTCCGTAACTCACCTTGTGGTAGGGCATAATGTCCTTTGAAGGAGTTGAAATGCTTTTAATCCCACTACTTCTAATTTCGCAAGTTGACCCTCAAGTGAGAAACAATTAATCAAGATATCCCTGTTATCCATCTGAGATAAAAATGCATGGAGTTAATAACAGCAAATAATATATCGAGAACATGCGGTAAGCATCTAACAGTAATGAGTTTTCTTTTCTGACATGAAATCTTCCGACTCTAGACTAGAGGCGAATCTTTTGCAACAAAGCACTGAACATAAACCACTTGAATCACATTTTAAAATAATGTTGGCTTACCATGAACATCATATACAGAGCATGAAAGTAGACAAAAGTTTTCATATTGCAACAAATCATTATTCGCTCACAAATTAAACGCCAAACCAGTACCACTACAGCCTATTGTAAGATTCGTAAAAGTTAAAACGAGAGAAGATAAAAAAAAACAAAAACTTAGTTAGACACAGACTCCAGATGCTTTCAAAGTGAAGTCAGATGAGATTAAGCGTTTGTACCTCTTTCTGGCAAGCTAATTTCAGAGTATGATAGGCTTCAGTGAGAACAGAAGCATGTATCCACACCCAAAGCTGGCGAAAGGTAGAAGAGTTCTCTGTACCCTCTAGTCCATTACATCCATCGCTTGGTGGGCCAGAAGGCCGCCACATATAGGTCACAGGAGCAATTGGGGTTGAAAAAGGTGCTCCCAAATGATGAAGCTGCAAAAACGGGTCATAAAATTAATATCTCAAGTCATCCACGCTTACAAGAAAAATACAACTGGATAGCTTACCATAGCACTGTCATATATGATACCAGAAATAACAGAACGAGCTGATGAAGAAGGCACCATCACCATTTCTAACACTGATAGTAATGAATCCTGGATGCATATGAAATAAGATAAGATCAAAATTTAGTAAGGAAAAAGAACATATTGCAACACTTTTTCATTTTTTGGAAGAAAAAAACAAAAAATAAAGGGGAAAAAGAAGAGATAAATGAGTTTATAATAGAAAGTAAAGTAAATGCCTGCCTCCGGACCCTCCAATTGGATAGCTACATGATAGCTTGCATCATGCACAAGCATTCCATCCTTGAACCACTTCAGGACAGCTTTGGACCCCCGTCCTCTACATTAAGGACATTCATTTTATGAATAAATATAACAATAATTCAACGAAAAATGTAAATGTACAAGTAAATTGGTAATGCATTACCTGCCCTGCAAACCCAGGGGAAGGTAATAACCCCAAAGCTTTGTCATTGTGAACCGCTTCGCATGCCAAATATGTGTTCTAAGCCTCTTGGTGCCATCCCCTGATGTGCAGAAACCATTTTCAAGGTTCATTTTAAGCTCAGTTCTCCGACGAATGCGACGAGGAACATTCTTTTCGTCTTTCTCTGGAGGCAAAGCATTGCTGCCCTGATCAACAAGTCCAAGTTTTCGCTTCTTTCTGCATCTTTTTTTAGCGGCTTGATTGTCGTACGCGGTGGTTCTTCTTCTCTTGCTTCTCCGTGACCGGAAATCATTGTTCACTCTATTAGATACAATTGTATGGAGCGTCTCAAGCTCCGGAGCTCGTGATTCCGCAAATTTTTGGACATTAATTTTTCGAGGTGGAGCTGAAGAAACCTGTAGCCGTCTGAATCCGTCGGTAGCCATTAGACAGAATTAAACCCCCGAGAGAGAGAGAGGGAGATTACTTGCAGCGACGATGGGGTTGGGGTTGCGGCGGGTCGGGGAGGGGCTGCTGGGTTTTTAATTTTTTGAAAAGTTATTTTAATAAAGTTTGGAGTTTTTAATTTTTCAAAGTGTATCAACAATTACAATAAATTCAAACATCGCCCCACATTTTGTGAAAATTACAAAGATGGCCATTGACACTCGTTATTCTGATTTCTTAACCCCTCTCATGGACTGAAACACTCGACTCTCTGGACTGTCTCTCTAGACTGGTTCATTGTTTTATTATATGATATGAAGCTCGTGTAAATTACCAGATCTGTGTCGTTGATTTCAGAGAGACACATCTTCTCGGCTCTCGCCAATCTCTGAAGTCCAAACCACAAGTGCAAAATGGGCATCAAAGACGCCTCTCTCTTATTATTCTTCGTCGCAATCTCTTGGGTTTCTACCAGTTTCGCCGATTCAATCCACGGTTGTGGCGGCTTCGTCGAGGTAAAGTCACTTGTAGTTTCCTTCTCTTCGTTTTATTTGCCGTTGGAGTTTGTGGGTTCTACCCTTATACCTGATCAAACAATCATACTTGAAAAACTTGTAGGCTAGCTCTTCTTTGATCAAGGCGAGGAAGCCCACGGATGCTAAATTGGATTATTCTCACATCACGGTAACAATTTGGAATTACTGGCTGATTTTCTTTGTTGGGTTTGACGGCAGTTGGCATAAAGCACTCATGTCTTCTTGATTGTGATTTTAGGTTGAGCTTAGGACAGTTGATGGGTTGTTGAAGGATAGTACTCAATGTGCTCCAAATGGTTACTACTTCATTCCCGTATATGACAAGGTATTTCTTATGTTAATGCATGAATTTTAAGGATTTGTACCAATTCCATGTCTTTGTGTTTGTGTATGCCATTCTATTCCTGCTATATTTTTATTGTTATTCTTTTCGTGTTATGGAGTCTGTGTTATGGAGCTTGGAAGCTATATTACATGCTCATGCTCTATTATTGTTGTAAAATTACTACATGATTAGCGGAGATCATCAAAAGCCATACTTATCTGAAACGTTCTGTGTTTTCATTTGATCTTCAATGCTTCTCATAGCCATTATTTCTAATGCAGGGTTCTTTTGTAATTAAAATCAATGGGCCAGATGGATGGTCATGGAACCCAGAAAAGGTTTATTAACTTTTTTGTTATCTATATAATCTTCCCCAAGCATCATCCTCTCTCTCTCTCTCTCTCTCTCTCTCTCTCTCTCTCTCTCTATATATATATATATATATCTATATATAAATATATAGATATATGTTCCCATACATGGCCTTTCGACTCAGAATTTGCTTGTCAAAAGATCTGACAATAGTAGTATTTTATAGGTTCCTGTCGTTGTTGATCATACTGGCTGCAATGGTAGTGAAGATATTAATTTTCGGTTTACAGGGTTTGTTTCAATTTCTCCTTTTGTTCTTATTTGAGTTTTCATTATCTTGGAAGCATCTGTCTGTTCTTGTGCTTGATTTGGATTTTCCGTATAAAATACCTTGTTTATATGTGGCAGGTTCTCAATTTCTGGTAGAGTTGTGGGAGCTGTTGGCGGAGGGAGCTGTTCTGTTAAAAATGGAGGTCCTTCAAATATTGAAGTTGAACTTTTGTCTGATACTGGTGATGTTGTTTCTTCTGTTCTAACATCAGCAGGGGGGAATTACTTGTTCAAAAATATTATTCCAGGTACAAAAGTTGAGCTTTGTTTATATCACCATTCACAAGTTTTTCTGATGTCTGCACATTTCACCAGTTGTGATTTGATTTCCAAAACTTATTAATTTTTCTTTTATATTATAAAGATTTCCTTCTCTCTCTCTCTCTCTCTCCATTAATCAATTTTACTGCAGATCGTACCTTTCTTATCATACCCTTTTTTCGGTGCAGGAAACTATGAACTACGTGCTTCGCATCCTGACTTGAAAGTTGAAATTAGAGGTTCAACAGAGGTTTGTTTTTTTCCTTCCTGCCAAGATTGTTTTACTTTCCTTTTCGCCTGGTGTGTTGTGTATCTTTACCCCTTAATTCCCCATGTGATCTTTGTACTTGTTACTTGGTTTTATAAGATCCTATTATGTTGCCATTGATAAGCGTTTACAAGTTTACATGCCACTTATGTTGAAATAATATGCTTCTTGCAGGTGAAATTGGGGTTCGGAAATGGCGTAGTTGACGACATTTTCTATGTCCCTGGGTACGATATTCGTGGATTTGTTGTTTCTCAGGTAAAAATGTTACTTTAGAGATGACAATTGTGCAAAATACAATTTGCTTTCTCAACAAGTCCCTATGTTAAATATCTTCTGTCCAATACATTGAGAAATCTATCCATTAATACAAAAATTTCTTAATTTATGTGAGCTCCCCTAATGTGGTGATCAGGTGAAATTGGACTTCTAGCATATTTACTTATGATTCTTTTTTTTTTTTTTTTTGGGTAGGGAAATCCAATATTGGGAGTTCACGTTTATTTATACTCGGATGACGTCTTAGAGGTAGACTGTCCCCAAGGTTCTGGTACTGCCTCTGGAATGAGGAAGGCGCTCTGCCATGCTGTATCTGATGCTCATGGGATGTTTGTGTTTATATCAATACCTTGTGGTAATTCTATATATTTTCTGTTTATTTGTTCTATTATCACAGTTTCGGTAGCCTTTTTTCCTCATATCCTTTCAGTTTGGGTTTTACCTTTCCGCTTATTCATCCTATATGTATTATTATTGTTTGATTACATGTTATTTGTAGATGCACCATTGGGATTTTAACTGATTGGTGCATGTAATTTGAATAATTTAAGAGTATACTTTTAGGGCCGTTTGATAACCAAACCATTTCAATTTTAGTTTTTAGTTTTTATTTTTTGTGCTAGTATAGAGGAAAATGAGAGTGAGAATGGGAGTGAGGATGAGATTGAGAGAGAGGATGGGAGGTCAGGATGAGGAGGAGTAACAAAAGTTAAAACAAAAACTTGAAAGTGAAAACAATTTCAAATAGATTTCAATTTTTAGTTTTTGTTTTCACTTTTGTTACTCCTCCCTCCCATCCTCCCCTCTCATCTTCCTTCTCAATCTCATCTCCACTCTCATTCTCACGTCCATTCTCCCCCTTTTTCCTCTATACTCTAGCACAAAAAATGAAAAATGAAAAATGAAAAATAAAAAATGAAAACTAAAAACTAAAAACTAAAAACTAAAATTGAAATGGTTATCAAACAGACCCTTAAGTCTTTGGTCAGCAAACTATACAGGAACTGCATCTAGCATTTCGTTTACAACTAAGTGAATAATATTAAACATTATTGTGTTCCTTTTATAAAATAAAATAAAATTAAACATTAATATGTTTAAGGAAAGAGTAGTTCAGACGAATAGATGCTTGCAACTTTTGCAGAGAACCACAATTTGGTTTTGTCCATTGATAACCTAATATCAAAATTTGGTCTCCAGACAAAAGGACACCACTTACCCCCTTAAAAAGTTAAAAGAAGGTGTAGTGGCCGCATGAGTCTTATCTTCCTACAAAGGGCAGAGCATTTACGTTCAGATTTATGTCTATATCATCTTCTTCTGTAATCAATGTCTTGGCTACCTTATTTTGTGGACCAAGTATCGATTACAAATCTCAGTTACTGTGCCACCTTATTCAGTTGATGAAATTTCAAGATTCATCTGGTTTTGAAGTCCTCTTCCTTGCATGGAAAAATGCTCATTATATGCATCTCAGCAATTTAACTGCTTTCAAGTTGAACCTAGTGCTCAGTTTCGTTGAATCATTGGCAGGAACATACGAGCTCATACCTTACTACAAGGGGGAAAACACAGTATTTGATGTTTCACCTCCTGTCATGTCAGTAATTGTGGAGCATCAACATGTGACAGTTCCCCAAAAGTTCCAGGTAAGGTGCATAATGGCCTACAAGGTTATTCAGGCAATTTGGTGATGTCGTAGTTTTCCTTTCACAATCTGTCTTCTCTAAATACTTTTGTATTTTCTTAACAAGATTAAACTGGGTTATAAGTCACATAGCCTCACTTCGTTTGGGTTAAATCTATTGATTGGCTTCCCATCCATCAATGTGGAACCATCATATAGCAAATTTGTGCATGCTAACATTATAAACATATTAAACAAATATGTTATTCATACTGATTTCATTTGGATTAAACAATTGGCAGCCCATGCATCCATTTGAAAATGTTATCTAATTTATTTGTGTTTGCTAACGTTAGTTATTTTTGTGTTGTGTGTTGTGATTGTTAGCATATATTTAACAGCGTCATCTTCTATTCTTGTTGTGCAGGTCACTGGATTTTCTGTTGGTGGCCGTGTTGTTGATGGAAATGATGTAGGAGTTGAAGGTGTTAGAATCATAGTTGATGGTCATGAAAGGTCCATCACTGACAAACAAGGGTATTACAAGCTTGACCAGGTATAATTATGCATCTATTTTCTTCCTTCCTGTTAGCTTTCTTTATTACACACTAAAATATTGAAAAAGCCCAAAAAATTCAGCAACTTGCAGCTCCCCAATCCCATGAACAATGAACGATATATCTCTAAATGCAAAAGAGACTGAAGCCAATAACAAACTCTTCTCCACAATGAATCTGACTATATTTTTCCTTGGAAGATTCTAGCATTTCATTCCAACCAAACCACCCAAAAGCATCTATTATATAGAACTTCCACAACACTTCTGCCTTTTTATCTCCACTAAGAGCCTGTTTGGTTCAAGGTTTTGGAGCTTGGGAATGGGTTTCAAATTGCATTCCCATGTTTGGTAAGTGAACTCTTGGGAATGCAATTTGGACTCGTGCGTATGGACTTCCCATGTAAGGGGGAAGTTCATACCCTTGGCTCACCTTGGGAAATTTTTCCCCCCACTTGGGAAAGCATTTAATACAGGTTTTTTGGACTAACTTACCCATGTTATTATTTTTAAATAACACTTTTGACCCTTAAAAAACTCTTTATATTAACCCTTAATAATTAAAAAATCAAGGGTAATGTTGGAAATTTGATAACTTTTCATTCCTTATACTGCACTAACCAAACTTGGGAATGGGATATAGTTGCATTTCCTAGTCCTCATTTCCCAGCATTCCCGTGTCGTGGGACCTCCATTCCCGTCTCGTGGGATTAGACATGGGAAGTTTATTCCCAAGAAGTTGAATCCATGAACCAAACGGGCCCTAAAGGAACATTCTTTCTCAACACACGAATGTATTCTACAATGAAAATGCGTTAGGCAATGGAGAAACATATGATCAATATAATTGCTCAAGGAACGGCTAATAGTGCCTTGGTGCTTGCTATTAGCCATTCCTGGAGCGTTCTAGGAGATGTGGGGATAACCCAACTTAATCCAACTTCCCTATTCCTCCGCCATAAATCTAATGCAATGGGGCGATAAATAAACAATTGTGTGCATTTCTAGCTTCATCCGAACACATGATACACAAATGTAAAGAAAGGCAAGCATTAACTCTTCTCCTCTCAACCATATCGCAAGTGATGGCCCTACCATGGGCAATTATCTAGGATAGAACATGTACCTTGGTTTGGCCTTTTAAATCAAAGGAGCAGGATAAAAATAAGAAAGAAATTGATCGCAACCAACTTCCTTTCAAAAGATTTACAAGAAGGCATCCTTGATAGTTCCAACTTCCAACACCTTCTATCCAAACTAGATGACATACTATTGTTATTGTCATTTGCTATTGAATTTAGCTTACTTAGCTGTTCAATGTTTCAGGTTACTTCCAATCGCTATGCAATAGAAGCCACAAAAGAGCATTACAAGTTCAGCAGTTTGAACGATTATTTGGTAGAATATTTTATGAGAATCTATTTCTGAACTTTTGTATTGATTCTATAGCAAGGGTACCATCCTTTTGTGTTGGAAGCTACAATGTTCAATATCTGCATTTAACTAGGTGAATTGTATTGACTTTCTTATCATAATGAATTGTGTTTTATCTTACTTTGCTTGCTGATCCAGGTATTACCGAACATGGCTTCAATTGTGGATATTAAAGCAGTTTCCTATGATGTCTGTGGTGTGGTTCAGATGACTAGTTCTGGTTACAAGGCAAAGGTAAAATCAGTCCTATGCTCTTCATTCTATGTTATGTGCAGGATTAATATTTGTCACATTTATATTCTAGGTAGCTTTGACTCATGGCCCTGAAAATGTCAAACCTCAAGTGAAGCAGACTGATGGAAGTGGAAGTTTCTGCTTTGAGGTCTGTTATCTTTATGTGCAATAAGGAGGTGCTCTTTAGTTTCTGGGCATATCTAGAGACTTGTACTTTCTTTTCTTATATTGAGGTGGCTAAGGTTATGAAAGAGAAGAGGGATTACTGACCCAGTTCTTATGTTCAAAGCCGGACTAAATTACTTTGATCTCCTTTTCATTTATTTTATATGCGACTGGTATTGGAAGTTTTGTGAAGTTGTTTGGTTAATGGGCTGATCCTAGTATATTTTTGAAGCAATGAATAACTGGAACTGGGTTCAAGTTACTGCTATCTTGTGTTTTTGATTGCTTAAAGTTCTTTTGAACTTCCTATAAAAGAAAAAAAAAATGCTTTGTACCAACTTAGTCATTTTTGTTATAAGATTAGTTGATAAGCTATAGAAGTACAACTGCAAATGAGAACTGATCTTGGGACCTTTCTTTGCGAGTATTTATAAATTTAGTATGTTGATTTTTTCTGCTGTATTTCATTTTTGTTTGTTTTCCTTTTTGGTGGCTTTCATCCAGTCATTAATTGACATATGCATCAAGATCAAAAATTAACCCCATTACCTATGAAATTTGCCTCACCTTTGTCTTTTACGTTGCCCAGGTTCCACCTGGTGAATATCGTTTATCTGCTTTAGCAGCTTCGCCTGAGAGTGCTTCTGGTCTAATGTTTTTGCCATCTTATATCGATGTTGTGGTCAAAAGTCCATTATTGGACGTGAAATTTTCTCAGGTAAACTTATGTAAATTATATGGATTTTTTTTTTCTTCTATAAAATATAATGACTTTTATTTTCTCTATCATTGGGTCTTCAATGCTTTCTCATACAAATATGCTTCTGCCATAATACAATATCTTGGCATCAGCTTGATTTGGTTGGTGGTCTAGTTATTTCATTGCCTAGTAGTTTATTAGAACAGATGATATGATTATGGACACCAAAATCTAGTCAACAATAAATTCTGATGATTTTAGATGCTTGTTTATGATAGATGTTTAATTTATCACTAAGATATTTCTTTCTGATCCTTCCTTTTTTCCCTCTCTTTTTGTACAATTAAGGCATTGGTCAATGTGCGTGGTACTGTAGCCTGCAAGGAGAAGTGTGGTGCTTCTGTTTCTGTTACCCTTGTTGGTTTAGCTGGTAAACGAAATGAAGAGAGGAGGACTGTTAGTTTGACTGATAAGAGTAGTGAATTTCTCTTTCAAAACGTCATCCCTGGGAAATACAGATTTGAGGTACATTTCTTGTCTTCTGCCCATAACATTGTGTTTAACTAGTATTTTGTGCTGCAGACAGTAGTTGTGAGATGAGCAAAAAGGTGTGCATGTCGGAATTAGCACTGACTTGCTATAAATGCCATTGATTTAGACATGTGTTTTTCTTTGGATGATTGTTGTTACTTTAGGTCAAACACAATTCAGAAGAACCTGCAGCTGTAGAAGATAATTGGTGCTGGGAGCAAAGTTTCATTGATGTGGATGTTGGTCTTGACGACGTAAAAGGAATTGAATTTGTTCAAAAAGGTTACTGGGTCAATGCCATTTCCACCCATGATGTAGATGCTTATATGACTCTACCAGATGGTTCATCCATTAATTTGAAAATTAAGGTTTGCTCTGTTCATTTATAAGCCCAGATGAACTAAATGAAGACACAAATGCACCAGCGTGTGAAATTTATTCTCCTCTTTATGAACTGCAGAAAGGTTCTCAGAATATTTGTGTAGAATATCCTGGAGTGCATGAACTTCATTTTGTCAACTCGTGTGTTTTCTTTGGGAGCTCATCAATTGAGATTGATACATTAAACCCATCGGTAAGGTGTTTATCTTGATTCTTCGTTTTTTTTTAATAAAAAAATTCATTCTTTTGTGACCTTGCTTAAGTAGAATCTCCTTCACCTCACATGTTTTATCTCATTTTGCAGCCTATTTATCTGAAAGGACAAAAGTATCTTCTTAAAGGACAAATCAGTGTTGCATCAAGCTCGTTTGATGGTGTCAATGAGCTACCTGAGAATTTCATTGTCGACATTCTAAGTAGCGGGGGCAGTATTATAGATGGGACCACAGCTAGACTTACTTCCAGTGAAAATGACCAAAGTGCTGCTGTGTATGAATATTCTGTATGGGCCAATCTCGGAGAAAAACTTACCTTCGTTCCTCAGGATTCAAGGTGCATAGTTTTTTTGTACTGCTTATTTATAGCTCTTGTACATCTCAAATGTTGAGATGCATCAATAATATCGTCCTTTTAGTATGTCTTTTGATTAGTTTCTTAATTGTTACTCTATCCTTTCACAGTTTTACTCACTTTTTCTTGTTAAGAAAACTTAGTATCGCATCGGTGTTGCTGATTTGCTGTTATTTCACAATTTTTGCTTATGACATGAGCTGTGATGTTTTGCAGAAATAATGAGATGGGGAAGATCTTGTTTTATCCCAAACAACATCATGTATGGATTGGTTTTTAGTTTTTCTAACTATAGAAATAGAAGTCTCTATTATGTTGTATCAATATTAATCTTAAAACTTTTCTTCGTCAGGTCGTAGTTACAAATGATGGTTGTCAAGCTTCAATCCCTCCATTCTCTGGTCGATTGGGTTTATATATTAAAGGATCAGTCTCTCCCCCCCTTTCTGGTGTTCATATTAAGATTCTGGCTGCTGGAGATAGCCGCATTGCTCAACTTAAGGACGGTGAATTAGTACTTGAAACTACCACGGGAAAGGATGGTTCCTTTGTTGGGGGTCCTTTATATGATGAAATAACATACAGTGTTGAGGCTTCCAAGGTTTGGACATCTATTATGTTATGACATTAATTTACTTTATGCAATAAAGTATTCTGCATGGTGTTCTGTCAAGGTGATGCATTGAATATTGATGACTTGGTAGATGTTTTTGTACTTTGTTCATTTTTTGGATTCTTGGTGGTGTTTATTTTGTAATAATTACTGATTTTACGAGGATTAAACATGTTTTAGAGGAAAATCCATAAAAGCAACTTAAGAGATATATAATGTAAGTAGTACAGATTTTGGAGACCTTGGCCTTCACTGCTAATATATCTCGAGATATAACTTGATAGATTGTTTGTAGGCATTCCCTAAAGATTGTCCATAAAAACCTCCCTAGCTAAACTTGTGATCCAACCGTCATATATCTTTTTGACATATTTGTGCTTATTCTTACGTCTTTTATTTTTCTTAATACGGATGAGTTAAATCAAGAACAAAAGACAGGTTGATATCTCTATTCCTGCATTAAGATTCTCCCTTCCTGGTGTAGTGCAATGCAAATTGGTTTTGCCTTAAGATGGTCAAAGTACACATAATTCGAGGGAATAGTTGGGACATACTTTATATTTGTGGTATTAATGATTAAGACAGGAATGAACTAATATTATCTTCACTTCTGAACTGAATACAAGACATACTTGAGACTGCAATTCGTTGCTATCATCCTAATGTCTTTCATTTTGTGCAGCCTGGCTATCATTTAAAAAAAGTTGGCCCTCATTCCTTTTCTTGTCAGAAGCTTGGCCAAATTTCCGTAAATATATATTCTAAAGATGATGCTAAAGAGCCTATTCCTTCAGTGTTATTATCTTTGAGTGGCGATGATGGCTACAGAAACAACTCAGTATCTGGAGCTGGTGGAACCTTCCTCTTTAATAACTTATTTCCTGGGACTTTCTATCTCCGTCCTCTGCTGAAGGTACCCTTCTAGCATCTGCATTCCAAATAAAAAGCTCATGCTAATTATTTTATTTTTGTTCCTATTCTGCACTCTTTCTTTTAAAGTCCTTGTTTTGGATATTCAGAATGTACGAGTTAAGTAACTTTGAACGCATTCTGAGGTTACAAGACATTGGTTCAACAATCAGCATCATTCATTTTACAGCTCTGAGTGTTTTATTTTATTCTGTTTTTGTGATCGGTCACAGCTCTGAGTTTAAAATACATTTGGTTAATCAGTTCAGTACCAAAGTTTCAACACGAGTTTTAGAACAAAAGTAGTCTAATGTGCGTGCTTACCTTTGTTTGGAAATAATATATGACAAGAAAAATCAGTTCCACCGAGTATATGGCTAAAAAAGCATTGGAACTAAAAATAAAATAAAATTTAAGCTAATTATACATTCCCATAGGATATATATATTTCAGTCTAAATACAATGCCATTTTTGTTCAGGCTTAGATCTTTTGACCAGTTTACTTAGTCCAATTAGTTTTCAACTTTAACCATTTAAGGCGGGACAGTATTTTTTATTTGGTTTCTACTTTCAAAATTCAAGTTTTTCAGTACTATGTGCAATGGGTTTTTTGAACCTGGTTTGTCTTTGAAATTTGAAATTTAGAGTTTTGTTAATATGATTTACAAGCTAGTTAGCTCCCTGCCTCTCTTTTTCTCATAAATTTTTGTATCATTAGAGTGTAAGTTTTTCCCCTTAAAGATTAAATCCTGCATCCGCCACTGCAAAAGACTGGTCATCATAAAAAGATACAATAGTGACAGGGCCCTAAAACCCCAATATTAAATGGTTCACTTTTATCCCAAAGCTAAGGTTGTAATTAATCACTCCACCTGACGAATGACTTTTTTGTTCCCGACATCCTGTAGGAGTTTGCTTTTTCCCCTCCAGCACTGGCGATAGATCTTGGTTCTGGGGAGTCTACAGAAGCGGTTTTCCAGGCCACTCGAGTGGCTTACAGGTTTTCCATTAGTCCTCTCTTATATTTAGTTTGCAAGAAAGCCATACTTCTTATATGTGATCATATGGATGTTTATTTATTTTTTATTATTGCCTCCACACATATGAACAGTGGCAAACCATTCTCTCTTTCATAGTAAGAATTTTGAACCACGTGGAAGTGATTAGGATTTGTCCTTTGCCAAGACTGGATAAAAGTTAAATCGAGCCCCCAACACTTGGTATAAGCTTATGTAATACAACTGTGCCTCATTGATTTTGTTTTCCTTCCCTTTTTAGTCATTATTGTTTACTTTTGGCGATTAGTATGCCACTGTAATTTTGACTTGTAATCAATAATTTTATTTTATTTATCAAATGGACTTTATATTTTACCTTATGCTACTTTGCATCATATCTTTCTGAGCATGCATGGTCCGAGTTTTGTGATATCTTTTTTGAATTTTAATTAGCGCTCTATAATTTGAACGGTGTAACTGTGTAAACATGCAATTTTAAATCTATTTTATGCTTTCTGTGAGATCTAAGTTGGTTTATACTCTTCCTAGTGCCATGGGTGTGGTCACTTTGTTGTCTGGCCAACCAAAAGAAGGTGTGTTAGTTGAAGCCAGATCAGAATCAAAGGGCTTTTATGAGGAAACAGTGACTGATCCATCTGGAAGTTATCGTTTGAGAGGACTCCTTCCTGACACAACCTATGTAATCAAAGTAGTAAAAAAAGATGGTTTGGGTAGCGCTAAAATTGAGCGTGCATCACCAGAATCTGTTACTGTCAAGGTTAGTTTCTAGAAATTTTTATGCAAACAGTGAAAAAGAAGAAGAAAAATGAAGACGGCAAAATAGCCTTTGTTGATGTTGCTTCCCATATGTGTATGTTGATTTCAGCATTTTGCTAAATTTGTAGGTTGGCTACGAGGATATGAAAGCATTAGATTTTCTGGTCTTTGAACAGCCAGACACAACTATTTTAAGTTGCCACGTTGAAGGAAAGAGAATAGAGGAACTGCATTCACATCTACTTGTGGAAATCAAATCATCTAGTGATGTTTCTCGGATTGAGTCGGTCTTTCCTCTTCCTCTTTCCAACTTTTTCCAGGTGAAGGACTTACCTAAGGGTAAGCACCTTCTGCAGCTCCGGTCTAGTCTTCCGTCAAGCAGCCACAAGTTTGAATCTGAGATTATCGAGGTCGATTTAGAGAAGCATACTCATATACATGTTGGCCCACTTAGATACACGTTTGAAGAGGATCACCACAAACAGGTTCGTTCCACTTATTGTCCAATAGTTTTTAAACGAATCTTGTAAATGTACAATGGTATTAACCTATGTTATAGAGCCCCTATCCTTATTTTATGTCATCATATAACCTAGTTGCTGCTGATTTCATGGTGCTTACTCTTGTTTATGGTGATTTAATTTTTGCATGTGAGGCTATGAAGTGGGTTAAGAGTAAAAACTAACTAAACATTCGTTTCCTTATCATCTTCCACTTCCATGACCTACAGGATTTGACTCCAGCACCAGTTTTCCCTCTTATTGTTGGAGTCTTAGTGATTGCTCTGTTTGTCAGTATTCCAAGGTATTTGCTATGTTATTTTTCTTCCTAGTACACCTACTTTTGACTGGTTCTGGACATGTTGGTCCTCATAAACATGCTATAATTATTATCTACTTTTATCATGCCTCATCTTGAAGGTTGAAGGATTTATATGAAGCCACGGTGGGAATACCAACACCCGGATTCACTACAACTGCAAAGAAGGAAGTGCGGAGGCCAATTTTGAGAAGGAAGGCTTACTGAATGTCAGTTTGTGCCTAATGGAAATGCACAAATATTAGATCTGCTTTGCCTTTGCTGTTTCGAGGTTGAAGATGAACTTAGCCTAGGAAAGAGCTTTAGAAAATTAGAGCCACTCAGGGTATTTCCTCTCACTGTGACGTAGGCATGTAAGGTTTTGTGATATAAACTTTGCATTTTTTTTAAAAAGCAAAAGCTTCCACCATGGTTGAGGCCCTTCATGTCCTAATTTTTGGCCTTCACACTAGTGGACATGCAATTTTAAGATAATATTCTTGTACTTGGAAGTGAGTGACATACAGGACGATTCATAAGGATAGGATTAAGTTAGGGACATGAAAGGTATTACATTTCTTAATTCTTCCCCAACACAAGCGGTAGATCAACAGGCATGCGTATGTATGTTTTGAAGCTACACTTACAAAATAACAGATTATGCAATGTTTCTTATTGTGGGTGATGTTGGAATCATCATGAATTATCGTGGTACTTTTTTCATAATATTATCCGTTTATCAGTCGTCGCATCGCATGTATTCAGTAAATTTTTGAATATCTTCTACATCCACTTAAGGTGGATTGGCTTTTGCAACAAGTTTTCATATTGTGCACAATCACTCGAAGAAAGGATAAAGCAAAGGGATGTGTTCTGATTAAGTCAATAATTTATAGATATGTTTTATTTATTTATTTAGTTCTTTTAATCTCCTGCTATCTTGGGTCTTCTGTTTTGTTGCAGTAGGTATTTGTATTTCAATCAAAATTAGCTTGAGAGGTTGTTTAGGGCATCAACTGTAGTTAAAAGATTTAGTTATTTACATTGATACCCCGAAGATTTTAGTGTTTTCATAGTAAAACCATGAGGTTTTGAAAATTACGACTCCTCCTCTTGAGGTTTTAAATTGCTTTTACAAAACCCCTTGCGCTAATCGGTTATCCAAAAAATCAGATTGCATATCCACACCCATGAGGTTTAATTATTGAGGTCAATTTGATCATTTGAAGAAGTAATTTTTTATAATTTATCAATTTTTAGACAAAATTAACGAAGAGTTTACTGAAAACACCAATAAACCTTAGGTGGTGTTTAGTGTGGATAAACGTTAGGTGATTTATTGAGGCTTGCTATCTTGCCTCAGCATATACGTTACGCAAGGGGATCTTGCGCATAGGGAGAGTGTAAAAAATTGTATTCTCATTTTCCAGTTAATCCAACATTTTGTTTAATCAATTCTTTAATTTCCATGTAGAAAATCAATCACCAAACCACATTAGAAACAAGCATGTGTTACGATTCAGGAGTCACAGGGTTTTCACGTTCCCAACCCACCCAATGCGAATTGAGTTACCTCATGGACTAATGGACCATGGCATGAAAGAATTAGACTGAGGGACTCTGGGAAACACTGTTGGGTAAGTATTCCATTGACGACCATAAAATTTCGAAGGCTACATCCCCTAATGCAAAAATAGACTGCAAAATTCCAAATTCAGATACAAAAAAGTGAGCATCAAGCTAGAAAAATATGATAATAACACATATTACATTTATAAACATGTTTAGAAGGATACAAGAAATTGTCATATGTTACATACAACAACTACAAGGCGAGGGCTTGCAAATTGGAGGTTTGCTCCAAATCTGCACTTTTTGGGCAAGTCCTGTCATCGTGAAGAACAAGCACCTCCAGTGTGCCGGATTCTCTTAACCAGGCAGCAGCCATGGATCCCGTTGATATAAACCTACCCAAGTTACACTTGGCAACCCGAAAGGGTGCACCCATGCTGGTAAGAAGCGCCTCAATAGCTCGTCTTAAGGTGCTGTCACCTACTACTTTGCTATGCTTGCCCCACCCTGTCAAAATGCTGCATGGAATCGACCATAACACTAAACTTTCTGACCAAAAATATTATGGAATAGTGATTTGTTTGATGAGAAGAAAAAAAATGCAAACCTTAACAGGTTCGGCAGTTGTTGGCCTTCAAACACTATAGAGCGTATATTGAGCAACCATGCATGAACCATTGCCCGGGCAGCCCCAGAAGACATTAAATGCAAATCCAAGCATGAATTCGACCACACACTCTCCCATACATTTCGGCGCTTCCCTTCAAGCACAACCAGTTGCGCCCCTTGTTTCTATTAAACAAAACAGAGAAATATTGAAACACTTCAAAAAAACATATCAACGTCATTTCGTATGGGCAAAAGGGAAAACCATGAAAGCCTGAAAAGGTGGCATCTCAATTGGCAAAACTTACCTGTCCGTAGTGCCATAGCATGTCGGTCAGAGCATTATAGAATGCAGATGCAGTTGAAGAGTCCATCTGCTTAACTTCATCAAACAGAGACTCAGCTTTAACCCATACATTATCCCTGTAGCCCATGAGAAGTCCGTGGGCAACACCGTAAACTTTGTTATCAAACAACCGGAGTTCCTCCAATAACATTGAAGCATCTTCAAAAGAATTACAACGGCTACATTTATAGGCCATTGAAACAGAGATTAGCCATACATTCTGGGAGACTATTGGACTACATATACAAAGAGATTAGGGGAAGGCAAAACAGAGATAAAAGCATTGACATTGTACTCAACATTAGATTTCCTAACCAACCATCTAATCATGGGCATTGTAGCCTAAAACTCTCAACGACATTCCAATACACGGAGGCCACACGTAAATCTCAATATCTAGTAATGCACAGCTCAATTTGATTTTAACGAATCTTTAAGCAACACAGTCCTCAATAATGTAATAAGACATACATGAAAGATAAAAAGATATACCTGCAAGCATTTAAAATGGCAGAAAATGTGACAACGTTTGGTTTGATGTCTAGCTCATGCATCTTCTGAAAGATGCCCAGAATGCACAAGATTTCTTGTCTAACCTTCCTATCTGTTTTTGCATAACCTGCTTTCTCAGCAGCAAGTTGCCCAAACATCTTCATAAATCTGTTATCCCCCCTATCTCCCACCTGAATCCCAATGGCATCCCCTTCAGAAACTGAAGATGAAGATTCTGTCTGTAGCACAATGCTGCCACCAGCAGCATCAGCTGCACATTCTGTTGTTGCTGACCGACCAAAAGCATCAATTATTGAATTATAAGTGACAACATTAGGTCGAATCCCTTCCTTGGTCATCTCATCAAGCAACAGAACAGCAGATTCCACCAGTCCATTTTTGCACAAAGCATTGACAAGTTCACTATAAAGCACAACATCAGCCTTCAGCCCTGCCTGCTTAAACTCTCTAAAAACCTTCATTGCCTCCATATACAAACCACCTTTTGAATACACATCAATCAATGTTGAATAAGTTAATATGTTAGGTGATACACGTTCTTCTTTCATCTGATTGTACATTCTTTTAGCGTCATCATACTTCCCTTGCTTCCCATACCCACCAAGAAGTGCATTATAAGATACAACATCCTTAGCAATCCCAACACTTTCCATTTCCTTGCAAACCTTCAAAGCATCTTCGAACCTACCAAGCTTCCCATAAAGTGAAAGCAATGTATTATACAGAACTCTATCCAGACCAATGGCCAAAAACTTCATTTCATTAAATAAACTTAGCGCATCTTCTAATCTACCAGCCTTAGCATACCCATCAATAATAGTACTATAAGTGACCACATTGGGCAAAATATTTTTGGAAGGCATCTCGGACATAATCTGATATGCCAAATCCATCTGCCCACCTTTACAAATCGCATCTATAAGGGTATTATACGTATAAATATCCTGATCAATTCCTCTATCCACCATTTCACTAAACAAGTTTCGAGCCATCTCCCACAGCCCGCCTCGACTACAAACCGCTAGGAGCGAATTATAAGTGATTCGATCCGGTTGCTCCCCATTTCTCAGCATCTCATTGAAAATCTCCACTACCCTCTTAAACTCCACTCCCCCTTTTCCATACGCATCAATCACTGCATTGTAAGTAACCAAATTTGGCTTCAAGCCCGAATCTTTCATCGACTCAAACACTCTGATAGCCTCCTCACAATACCCATTTCGCCCATAAGCGGTAATCAACGCTGAATACGTATAAACAGTCTTTCCATACCCCTCATTAACAGCCGTTTGAAACACATTCTTAGCAAGCTCAACCTTTCCTAACCTACCAAGAGTACTAATCATAGAACTAGCCAATTTCCCCTGCTCAGTTCTCCTTTTCTCACGCCTCACTGCAAACTCAAAGCACCGAATCCCTTTCCAATACTCACCTCTATTCCCAAGCTCTCGAAATAAAAAAATGTAATCATCAGAGCCGCAAAGCTTGGAGTGAAAACTAAGCAAAATATCATCAAGAGCAAGATCGTCGTTACCGAATTGGACGGCTTGGTGCAGGGCCTCCTCGGCGAGAGGAGAGCGGTAGGATCCCATGGTAGTTTTGGGGCGGCCCAAGTGCATTTTGGAGACGAATCGGGTGGAGCGGCGGCCCGAAAAAGCGGTGACAAGATCGGATTTTGGATGAGGGAGAGGGCAGAGAGAGGAAAAGGAGGAAGTGGGTGTGGCAGTGGGTGTTTTTGCGGCAGTGCGTGGTGCTTGGGATGGTAAAGGCAAAGGCTTTGGGAGAGAAACTTGTTGCTTCGTCCATTGATTGCTTTGGCGGCTCTGGCGCTGAGATTTTAGGTGCTGGTTTTGTGGGTATCGGTGGGTTTGATACGGCTTTGTCGCTGTGATTGAACAGTGTGGAGGCGTTGAAGCCATTGTAGATATGTAGCTAGAGAGAGAGAGAGAGAGAGAGAGTGAGAGTAGGTAGATAAATAGATATGTATATATAGAGAGAGAGAGAGAGAGAGACAGAGAGAGACAGAGAGAGACAGAGAGAGACAGAGAGAGACAGAGAGAGACAGAGAGAGACAGAGAGAGACAGAGAGAGACAGAGAGAGACAGAGAGAGACAGAGAGAGACAGAGAGACAGAGACACAGAGAGAGAAGGAAGATGAAGGAGTTGTGGGGATTAATGGAGGTTTTGGTAGGGTTTGGTTTGAGAGAGAGGAGCTGAGGAAGCCATTTGGATATGGCGGAGATTACAGAGAGAGAAAGCGGCTTTTAAAGATTTAAGTATGCGCACTGCTGCAGAGTGTAGTCAGCTGTCTCTCTCCTTCAAAGCAAAAAGTTTTTATTTCCTCTTTTTCTTAAACAAAATAGGAAGAAAAAAAATATTTATTTATTTTATTCTTGAATACCCGTGCCGTGTGGACAAACAAATTAGGAAATTAGGATTCCCAGCTTTCACCTTGTTTTTTTTTTCGTTTGTCCATTTTTTATTCTAAACGCTTTGCCTTATAAATATCAAAATTTCCATTTATAACTAAATATTTTAGTGTGTATTTTTGCTCACCGCGTGGGCCTCCTGTAGCCTCACTTCTCTTTGAAATTAAATTTGTGCCACACTTGTGATGCCAAACTTGTCCTTGGTGAGTATTCTGATGAAACATAAAACATGAGTATTCTGATGCCAAACTTGTACTAGTAAAGTCCACTCCTCCAACATCCATTTTCTTATCCCTTGACCAATAGCATACAATTGAAGGCTTCTGAAACTCAAGAATGCATGATAGCTGCCACACTTGTAAAAGTTATCTCCGCAATTAGTGGAGGAAAAAGAACTTATACATTGCAGTTTCTATTATATGAAAGGGGAGAAGAAAACAAAGACAAAAACAATGAGAAATAATGGGTGCTTCCTGTTGGAATGTCATATATAAAAGGTGTGGAGCAGTCTAAGATTCTCTTCCGAATAGATGGAATGATTGTCCTGAGGATGAACTTCTTGATCAAATAAGTAATGAAAGGTATCCGTCTCGGGCTTGTAATGTTCAAGATAAGATGGGTTCGTCTGCCTCCTAGAGAATTGATGTTGATGAATACGAGCCCGATGGTTACATAGAAAGTATTTGCCTGTCCAGAATTGATACTTAGACGCTGATGCTGATACATTTCCAGCAGCAGCAATCTGGCTCGAAGGAGGTGTTTCCTGTTGGATTATTATATCTTCACTATTTGATGGGTCCTTCTCGTACACAAGCTGGATACAGAACTCCTTTGCCCAGAAACTAAATTCCTCATTTATTGAAACATGTACTTGTTCTCCTTCCTCCAATTCATCATTTTCAAACCGCCAGTGGCTTAGCCATAGCATGTCTTGGTTCTTTTTTGGGAGACCTGCTGCAACTGGGCAATAGGTCCACTTAAGACCTTTGGTCTCATTACTGACTTTAAGAAAGTTTCTACTACTAAACCAAAATGGGCAGCGTGAATACATAACACATATATTTAAGCCTCGGATCTTGAGATTAAAATGTGAAGGTAGAATGATAGACAAAACAGATTTACCCACGCTCCTGTAGGTGAACCGATCTGGAATCTTGTTTCCATGAACGAAAATACTAAATATGCCACATTCATACAGTCCCTGTTTCATGTAAATCATATATTCCAATGACAAGTTAATTATGAAAACATAAAGAGAGAGAGAGAGAGAGAGAGTATATATGTATAGACTATACACAGAGAGACAAAGACAGACAGAGAGAGAACCTGGAGGGCCCCGTTCCTTGTTGTACATGTCAGGTAGTTGGTCATTTCAAATTCAACCTCAGTACTTACACCTGTGGATTCCAAATTAAACGGGCCCATATCCCTGATCATTTCTATGTCAACCCTTTTCAACGGTTTTATATCGAACAAGCTTTGAACTTCAACTAATTTCTTGCATTTCCAAAAACTTGAATCCAATGATTCAAACATGTTTGGTAGATTCGCTATTCTTTCCAGTGATGTACAATAACTTGCATGCAATTTTTTTAGACTCTGTGGGAGCTTTGGTAGAGTGCGTAGCTTTGCGCAACCTTGTATCTCAAGAGTCCGGAGCATAATAAGACCGTTCATGTTTTCTGGTAACCTCAGAATTGGGTTTCTACTTAGATTCAAATGCTTCAACAAGGACAAGATACTAAGATCACCAGGAATCTCTGACAGATTGCAGTCAGCCAGACTTAAGGTTCCTAAGCAATGTGGCCAGATTTCCATGGACAAACTGGCTGATTCAAGCTTATTTCTTGTTGATACCCATGACGTCCACGACCATATTGATTGCCATATTTTTTCTGACAACATATTTAATTTCTTCCTAACTCTAGTTGTAGAGTGTAAGTGATTAGCAGCAGTCGTACTGGTATGAAGCACAAGCTTTGAGCACCCAGAAAGATCAAGTTCCTGAAGAGATCTCAACATGCTAATTCTTGTTGGAAGCTTCATGAGACTTCTGCAGTCTTTTAGATTCAAGAAGATGAGTTTCTCTAGGTTTCCAAGGGATTCATCAATCACAACCAAATTTATGCAGTCTTTAAGAATCAATTTCTCAAGGTTAGGGACTCCTGACAAGTCGGGGGTTGTCACAAGGCTATGTGAATGACTCAGATTAAGAATTTTCAGTCCTAGAAGAAACTGATTGAAAAATATGGCAATTAGTTTGGTTGAGTATATATAATGACACCTAAACTTGTGGGGAGAGAGAGAGAGAGAGAGAGAGAGAGAGAGAGAGAGAGAGAGAGAGAGATTAGTATCATACCCTGGTTCCCTTCCAAACATGCTGTAGGCTGCTATTTCGCAGGTCAAGACCAACTAGATTTTCCAAATAAAATTTTTCTGGTATTGATTTTAAAGGGAATCCTCTCCAGCACAACCATATTAATTTTTTTGGAAAATCTTCATAATCTCCACTGACTTTTACATTATCGAGCAGGAGCAGTTCAAGATTGTGCATTCTTCTAAATGCCTCTGCCTTGAAGTCTACCTCATTTGATGTAGCAGCTGAATTTGTTGAGGAAGAGTTAATTGATATCCAAGAGAAGTAACCAAGTCGACGTCGTCTTGAACAATTTCCATCAAAGTCTTCAACAAGGCACCGGTTTTGGTTACTTGTACTAAATATTGCCTCGCTAGGAAGGTTGAGCATGAGGCCCTTAATAGTTTCTGTTCCCTGCTACGAAATCAGAACATCTGGTAAGTATCAAGTTCACAAGCATTGCACAAATATAAAAGAGAGCAAGTTTCTTACAGTTAATTTTCTCAAAACGTCAGAGGCATCTTTATGCCACACTCTACTACGCTTTCCCGGGTCCTCGGATGATTCTTCACGAATAATTGCCCTTCCCATGTCTCTAAGTAATTGATGCATGATCAACCTGTTGTCTACATCAATTTCCACTAGACATCTATCAACTAGATTTTGAATTCCAATCCTTGTGTAAAAATTTAAATTGTCTAGTACTGTAATTGTATAACTCATCTTCTTTTCTATGAAGAAACAGACAATATGAAGGAATAAATTCCTGTCATGATCATCTTTTAGAGAATCAAAGCTTATTCTAAGAATCTTTTGAATGTTGTCATCAGGAATCACGTGCAACTTCTGTAATGCACTTTGCCATAGATCTACACTTTTTCCAAATAGAGAAGATCCCAAAACTTGGAGAGCTAGTGGAAGGCCTTCACAGTGTTGTACTACAGATCTTGAAAGGTTCATGTAACCTTTGATAGGATGCGCTTGTTTGAAGGCATGCCAATTGAAAAGCTCCAGTGATTCACCCTCACCTAATTCTTTAACCTTAAACATTGCATGAACTGCATGATCATTGAACAGATTTTCATGTCTAGTTGTTACGATAATTTTACTTCCTGGATGAAACCATTCTCGCATTCCAAGAATTGCATTGAATTGCTCAGAGTGGTTCACATCATCAAGGACTATAAGAACCCTTTTGCAACGCACAACAAGTTTGATCTTGCTCATTCCTTCATCTATGCTGTATATTTTCTTTGTTTTCCCTTTTTGGATATCCGAAAGAAGTTTTCTTTGCAAGCAAACCAAACCATTAGGTTGTTCTGAAGCTGCTCTAACATCTGGAAGAAAGCTGCTACCTTGAAATTTATCAAAGTTCTGCTTATAAGCAGCTTTGGCGATGGTGGTTTTGCCAACTCCACCCATCCCATAGATAACAGCCACACCAACATCATTTGATCTATCCTTCAACCACATGTTTATGCCTCGCACACGATTATCTATTCCAACCAGATGGGGAGCAATGTTCGGTGTTGTGTGATTCAGTTTATTTTCAATCTCTTCAACAATATTTTGGATAAACTGCGACTCGTACCTATAAATGGTTGATATCACAGTATACATTAAGTGTTTGAGTGTTGAGTGTGGGTTTATAGTTAGAAGAATGCAATGGATGATATATCATCAATTGAAATGAAAGATAGCCCCCATGCTATTGTCAATTGAGCATAGGATAGTTAGCAATTGAATATTCTAATTCAAACTGCTACTTAGTTACATGAAAGAAAATACAAGCAAAATCCAACCTTAATTCCATATATAAAGCTTCACTAATATTACACTAAATCAACAGGCACACTTGCAATTTGTTTTCATATTGTACCTGTTTTGAGCTATGATTACTGTTATTATTCATTTAAATTCTAATGAAGTGTGATTAATTGTTGACGAATATATAAATACCTTCCAAAAACTATGTCGAGGAATTAGAGAAGTGCAAATACTTTAGAATAAAAATCAACCATGGAGTAAGAAGTTTTTGGGAATGAAATTACCGATCTCCTAAGACCATCCCTCCCAGATCTGCTACATCTCTAAGAGCTCTTCTCCACTCCTCCACCTTGTGAATGTCCTCCTTGAAGTGCTCTTCATGTCCAGAAAATGCATTTGCAAAACTACCAGTCAGCTTCCTAATATGGGATGGATCCACATCATAGAAAACTGGCATCACCATGAGTCCATCATCAGCTTTTCTACGTTCCATGATCTTCACAAGTTCGTCCAAGCACCATGTTGAGGAAGCGTAGTTCTTCGAGAAGACAATTATCGATACTTGTGATTCTTGTATTGCTCTCTGTATCTCAGCTGCAATATTTGCTCCTCTCTTGATCTCATCATCGTCTCTAAAGGTGTGGAATCCAGCCTGCTCCAAAGCCCTGTAGAGGTGATCCGTAAACCCCTTGCGTGTATCTTCGCCTCTGTAACTCAAGAACACATCATAAGTGCACCGGTAAAAGGTGGAAGAAGCATCCAGCTGGGCTATTATAGCAGCCATTTGGAAGCACTCGATCTTTGTCTAGTACCCAGTATTATATGCAAATGGAGAACAAAATAACGATAAGAAAAGTGGGTGGTAGATGATCAAAGTGAAAAGCCCCAGCAGCCACGATTTATACATAAGATCCAACTCCAAAGGAAGCTTCTTCTGTGCTTTTTGTCTTTGAGGTCAAGTCAACGTGATGCAGAATGCATATTATTAGTTTTCCTAATTCTACTTGGATTAGTTTTCCTATTTTTAGTTTTCCTAATTCTTAAGATTCCTACTTGTTAAAGGATCTCTTATTAGTTAATTTGTTTTCCTAATTCTTAAAGATTCCTTCTTGTTAAAGGATCTCTTATTAGCTAATTTGCTTTCCTATTTCTTAAAGTTTACTTTCCCTTTTCCTAGACTAAAAAGGGTTTTGCCTCTATAAATAGAGTTGTTTGTAATCTTTTAAGGCAGACTTGATTAATGATAAATTTCCTTACTTTGAACTCTCTGATTCCTTCCCCTTCCCTTCGTCTCTTCGATCTCTAATTCTTCTCTTCGATCCCTTATTTCTTCTCTGTTCTATTGCTCAAGTGTTTACTCTAAACCTACGGGCTGTACTACATCACAACGAGGAAGCTACTTCTATATATAAGACAAACAATTTTTTTTATGCACAAATGTAAACAATTTTTTTTCTTCTGTGTATTGACTGATGAATAAGAGGCCAATTCCACCTAAATATTTATGATATAGACTGAAAGCTAATTAATTGAAATTTTTTTAAGTATTTGATGATTAGTTTGTGGTCTTGAAATTGTGTGAATGCCTTCTGCATTGTAATTATTTAGGAAAAGAATGGAAATGGGAACTTTAATTTTGAGTCTTTTGAGTGTTAGTCTTCAGTTTAAAACCCAAAACAAAATGTCATATGCAAATGTAAAGCATGATTACAGATAAGAAAAGTAGGGTTGGATCGATGCAAATACTAAGGAAAGTCAAGAGGAGAGTCATTGACTTATCTCCATGAGGACTTGGATTCCAAGCTAATGATGACCAAATAGCAGAGCTACGTTTTCACCATACAAAAGCGGGCCAGGGTAAGTATGCTCGCTAACTGTTCGATGAATTCCCGACTCAGACACTGTGGAAGAAAATGGACCATCCCAAATCGAATGTTGTTCAATATTCTCCACCTCTCTCACTCTCTCTGCTCCAAGAATTTGAATGGGTGCAAAACTGAAAAGGCTGACTGGCTGAGTGCTTGCTCGAAAGCGGAAATGTCTTGATAGCTGACGAAGAAGAGGAGATGAAAGATGCTAACAGAGAAGCTGAAGAAGAAGAAGAAGAAGAATTTGATCAGAACAACAAAGCAACTACAATTCCATTCAACCTCAAGGAGTCTGCACCTTGAATCCCAAGCTAAACACAATCGGCTGTAAATCCCCACAGCTCAGAACCCCAAGTTGGCTCGGATTCCATCCCACTCACTCTCAGGCGAAATATGGTTATGTAAAGGTGTTTTCAATCCTACTAGCAAACCGCGCCATGCTGCGGGGTTTGAAACCAAATTGCATTCTAAAAGATGTTTGAGAAAAATCATATTTTAAAAGAAGAGTTGATAAATTTTCTTTAAAATTGAATCATAATTGAAGACAATTATGAGAAAGGAAACTTTGCCCAAATTCAATGCAATCAACTACCACTTAATATAGAGAAATTGAGTAGGGAAATAAGTTGTGAACAATGAAATATTATGTATATAATGTGTACATTAATGAGATGAATGAGTTGAAAAGGAAAGAGCATAAATTCTGATGTGGAAGTAGGAGAGGCAATTTTGGAACTGCCTTGGGCTTTTTTCTTCTTTAAACCGATAATTAGTGAATTGTCAGAATCTCGCACATTTTCTTCTTTGCACTGTTCCTATGGCTGATGAATGAAAACGCCCGTGTAAAATGCATATCCCTCAACATGAACCTTACCTCGTGCATACACAACACATGCATTTAGGCCTCGGATCTTCAAATTAAGATGTGGAGGTATAGTTATAGACAGCTCAGAGTTACCCATGCTCGACTTGTAGCAGAACCAATCTGGAACCTGGCTCCCAGGAAGGAATATGCTAAATATACCACATTCATCCAGTCCCTGTTTCATGCATGCATGGAGAGATTTATATATGTTCAAATATTACAGGCCACAGAAAATAATCATCATAAAAAACTATACAATACATGAGAAAGAGAGAGAGAGAACCTGGAGAGGACCCTTCCTTGCTGTATGTGTCAAGTAGTTGAACATTTCAACTTCAGTGCTTCCTATGGATTCCAAATTGAACAGACCGATATCTTTGATCATTTCTATGTCGACGCTTCTCAACGGTCTTATTTTGAACACGTTTTGAATTTCAACCAAATTCTCGCATTCCAAAACCGCTTCTCTAATTTTTGATAACATGTTGGGCAAGTTTAGTAGTACTCTTTTCAATGAAGTACATTTAAATGCGCCCAAAGTCTCTACACTTGGTGGGAGCTTACTAAGACCATTCATGTTTACTGATAGGCTCAAAAATGGGTTTCCACGTAGATTCAAATACTCCAATGAGGATAGGCTACTGAGATCATTGGGAATTTCTGACAGATTGCAGTATGCCATTTCTAAGCGTTTTAAAAATTCTGGCAAACTTGCACCGATAAGTTGGAGATTTTTTCTTGGCAATACCCATGATCGGAATGATTGCCACAATTTAACTGCAGATAACAGACTGAGTTTCTTCATGTCACTAGGTGTAGAGTCTGACTGATTTTCAACGATCTTACTGGCAGGCAGCACAAGATTTGAGCAACCAGAGAGAATAAGTACCTGGAGAGATGGCAGTATTGGAAGCTTTATGAGATTTTTGCAATCTTTTAGATTCAAGAAAACAAGTTTCTCCAAATCTCCAATGGATTCATCCACCTCTTTCAAATTTATGCAATCTTTAAGAATTAATCTCT